GGGGTTCAACCATAGGGTTAGGGTTAAGGTTCGGGCTTTTCAGTTTAAGTTTAAATGCAAAAAGTAGCAAGAGGAGGGTCAACACCTGAATATGAATCCGAAAATGAATTGTTACTTTACAAAAGTTATGCTCTTTATTATTGGATTTACCAGGAACTCAAAAACACTGGAAAAAGTCTTAAAGGTATCTTATGATCCGTACATTATGAGTCAGACCAATGAAATGTATGATTGTAGAACTCTCTAAAAAAATGCTGCTCTTTCTGATTGTTTTAGGTATTAAGTTCATTATAAAATAGTCTCCTTATAAACTTTTTTTAAATTTTTTTCTTTCAATGTCTAACTTTATTTGCCAAACAGAAGTAAGCACAGTGGCAGTACACAGTTGGGTGCACAGGAATTGCAAAAACTACATTAAATGTTTGCAACTGAAATTGAATTTGTTGCAAATTAAAATGCAATTATAAGATCGAGATACACACACACAAACATAGAGACAAACCTACACAGATACACACCTATACAGATACAGAATAGAGAACACAGACACATGGAAAAAGAAAACCATCCACACAGATGGAAAACCATTTTGAAATCCGCTTTTGAAAAGAGAAATTGATAAACGAATTGCGCTTTGCCTGCTATCTAGCTCCCAGCTCTTCCAGTCATGCCTCTGTTTATCGGTCTATGTGGTAGTACCAGTACCCGTACACCCAAAACTTGCAACGCACCTGTCTCCCCCGACACGCAGATGAACATACATACATATGTGTGGCAAGAGACGGACAAACCGCAAACAGATGCGGGTTCTGTCACAATGTTTTTGTTTTAATTTTTTTTTTATGTTTTTAATTTTTGTGATTTTATTCTTGTGTTTTCTGTTGGCATTGTTTTAGTTTTTATTGTTGAAACCCCTGGGTATTTATTTTGCCATTTTGCCAATGGCCTCTGTCAACGCATCTACCTTTGTGTTGCCACCAAAAAAATATTCCCCACAACTACACAAAGTCTTGCCACTTAAAACTTGAATTTAATAGTTGCAACTCTAACAATTAAATCCCTATTTCAACAAGCTATTCCAATAAGAGAGATACATAGAGCCCAGAAAACAAAAATAAAGTTTTCTATGCATTTTTGCAGAGCCACCTGTAAGTCAGAAATGTGCATATTGTGCCTCAAAGAGGGGGTGGGTCGTGGGTGGCATGCCTGACAACAGGGGGCGTGGGTGGCAACAGGCAGCAGGTGGCTGGTGGCTGATGGCAGGTGGCAGGCACCCTGCTGACAGCTTTGTGCCACAATTTCACGCTGCAAGCACTCGGACATGTGAGGATATGCCAGATAAATGTGAATATATGAAGATATTTCATTCGCTTTCATTTCTCTTATTTTTTTCCAATTGGTTTTTAGCCAGAAATGTGGTTAACGTTAGTACACACTAGTGGCCATTGTTTAACTGAAAATGATGAAAGTAGAAAGGAGAAGAGAATTTCCACAGAAAACCGAGAACTCGACTCTGTAAGCAAATTACTACGAATTCTGCCTTCTCATTTGCGGCACGAGGCATATGAAAAATGGTAAACTTTAAGCTTTTTAATTATTGGTTTGAAATTTCAACTTATTATTCCAGGCAGCCAACCAGCCGGTCATCCCGTCTGAATTTAGACTCGCTTTGTTTATTGTTTACTCAAGGGTTGAACATTTAAACGAAAAACCGAATATGGTTTTTACTTTTTTACTTTTTGGTTTTCTACTTTTACTCCAATTTTGCGGTAGCTATTCAGAAAAAATTGATTTAAAATATAAATAAAGATTTTTTAAAATAGAACGTTAAGGCCTAGACTTTTTTAAGGATTTTTAATGTGAAAGACAAGTTGCAAGGTAAATTAAACGTTTCTAGGAAAAGTAAACCCAAAAAGTACATAAGAACTCATTCAAAAAATATTTAAGCATTAAAAATCTTTTCAAAAAAATTGTAAAGAACTCATAACTTAATTATCCTTTTTATACAATTTTTTCTAATATAAAATCTCTTTATAAAACCTCCACAAAATGTAAACAAAAGGTATTTTCTTTCAATGAAATAAATTCCCCAACATATACATATATCCCTCTCTATCTCTGCCCCCAGTTTACTGTCTCTTTCGCTCCAGCCCCTCCTGTCTGTTTGCCAGCTAATAATTGAAATTTTAATTGAACGTTTGTGCCAAGGCAGTGGCATAAATAAACACCTAAAAGCAAACTACTATACGCACTGACTGTCAGACAGGAATAAGGAAATTCTGCTTATTTGTGGCCCTCAAAAAAAAAACAAAAATAAAATATATATATATATTCCACTGAGGCCGCAAAATTCATTAAAATGAAATCGAAATCAATTGGGCGTAAAGTTTTATATATACGATTTTATTTATAAACGAATACACGAATAAATTCGTATAGGGAGCGAGCCACGTTACGTATACGCCGTGTGGCTAACGAGCTGAAATGAAAATTTTTATGCGACCCCGCACATCAAATTATTGTGTAAGGCAAACAAATTCGAGGAGTTCGGGGGTCGTAATCCGACGACGACGTCATTAATAATTCAGAGCTCAGTCGAGGGACCATTTAAATCACAACCAGATCAATCATCACCCAGTCAGTCAGTCACTCGGTTAGTCAGTCTCGGTCCGATTGCAGAATAAAACCCAGAGAAGAGCGATTAATCGATTAATTGAATCGTAACTTTGCCATAAAATGGTGTCACGTAAGAAAAAAAACCATTGATTTGTAACTTTACCGAATGGCAATTAAAAAATGCCTATAATTCACAGCATAGTATAATTGAATAAGAGTTGAAAGAAAAATTGCACGGAGAGGGCCCTAACATATGCAACAATTTATATCGCTTTATGCGGCCTTTGCCCCTAAAAAAGGCAACAACAAAAAATAAATATAAATAAAAGATAGAGAAGGGGGCGCACATTTGTCTTTTCTTTTCTCGTTTTTTTTTTTTTTGTTTTTTTTTGTATCATTAAAAATTGACTGGGAGTTTATTATGATTGAACTGTTTCCATCTGGCATGTGGCACCCGCACGGCATTAATACACATCAGGCGACGACTCCGGGACTCGAGCTATACGTGTCCGTCTATCCCCCTATCCGTTCCCCTGTCCGCGTGTCCGCCTGTCCTCCTGTCCGCTTCTACCATCCGTTCTTGTATATTTACGTGTGTGTGGCGCCCACTGAGCTGGTGTACGTGTGATATATATACGGATAGACAGCCGTAGACTTCATTTACATGCTATACACACACATACATCCTACAAAGAAATATATATATGAAATGCGGGCTTGGTGGGCGTGCCAGCAAGGTGACAAATGTTTACAAATTCATTTTAATCTTAATCTAAAATCTACCTTCTTTTTTAATTCTTTTATTAAACTTTTGCATAAAATAAGAGTATTTTTCTTATTGTACCATTCGGTTCTCTTATATTATTCAATAAATCAGCTCTCAACATACAAAATATTTTTAAAACTTAAAAATAAAACCTTTTTTATACAAAATATACATATAGAATATATTTCTTTTTATAATCTTTACCCAAATTCTTTTATTAAACTCCTATGAGAGACAAGAAATGTTTCTTTATAGCAAGATATAGTTCATATTTTAATTATTTCCAAGCACAATATTTTACTTTGTAAAAAATAGTTCCAATAAAATAATCTAAAGAAATATATGTTGGATATATTTTTCGTAATTATAATCTATTTTCAGGATTAATCTCGACACTTTTGTAGGCTTGGCCATCTGCTTAAATGCTGTCGGATATATGCGAAGGAGGGTGGCGGGCAGGCGTTGGCAGATTAAAGCGAATGTGTCCTGTGGCAAGGAGGGGCAGGACGGTGGCGATGGCAAATGGGGCATGTGGGCCGTGTGGCAAGAGGTGGCGCACTGAGCTGGCTTTACTTGGGAGCGGCGAAGCGGAAATGTTGCATGCCATGCACATACAAGCCGCTTACCAACTGAGCCCCCAAGTTCTTGCCCCAACAGGAATGATAGAATGACGGCCTGATGGCATGAGCGAAGGATATATGGAATCCAGTCAGAAGGACAGATGCTGCAACTAACATTGATTTGCATGTTAACAGATGATGTGATTGTGATTGTTGTCAGTGTGTGGCAAGTGGCGAGTGGCAGGTCGCGAATGGTGAACGAAATAAAAATGCATTATCTTTTATTTGGATTTTTACATAAATGTGTTAGAAAGCTAAGCTAGCTGGCTTTATTTGGTGGTCGAATTTTGATAAAGTATCCAAAAATTATTAATTAACAGGAGAACAAAGTAACACGCCAGAGTTTATAGTCCGTTCATTGGTTTCCTAGTTGCACGGGAGTGTAGTGTGTGTAGAAGGTGCGTTTCAGGGACCGCAGCGTGCTTTCTTATCGTGATCCACTTTGAATTTTGAGCTTCAGATGCCATATTATCGAAAAATCCAGGGTGTTGGTACGCAAATAGCTTCTGTCCAAAGACCTTTAGAATTTTGGAAATCATTCCAAGATGCCTCTTATATCTTCTGCTTCTGAGATCTTCTGCTCCTCTTATAGGGTTTTAAATAATACTCGAAAAATAACTCGAAAGAACAAAGTAACATGCCAGAGTTTATAGGTCGCTTCTTGATTTCCTAGTAGAGGTGCTTCCTTAATCCATCCTTATTCAATTCCTTATCCTTATCTTCCTCATCTAACTGCGTAATGTGCGTAGAGGTGCTTCCCTATCTTAATTCACTTAAAATTTTGCACTTCGGATATTGTCGAAAAATCTAGGATGGTGATACGAAAATAGCTTCTGTCCAAGGTCAAAGGACTTTTAGAATTTTGAAAACCAATCCAACATGACAACTCTTCTGTTCTTCTCATTGGGGTTTAAATAATTTCTTTTCAATGGTCATTTTTTCAGGACGAGTCATTAGGAACCTGTAACCCAATCGGGATATGGGAATCTTTGTTTCTTTCATATCCACCTGGAGTGGCCAACTTCTCTGCAAAGTCACATCGATAGGTTACCTTCAAGTGCATTTTTAAGTTCAAGCTACCAATAAATATCTATTACCTCATTCTCATAATTTTCATTAAAAACTTACCTTATTGCGACCAAAAATATCCTTCAAGAAGAAGTTGGTTTTCACCCTGAGAATACATGGTTCCACGATGACAGAGGTCACTGTAATATTTAAAATTAGTTTTATTTTTAATTTCACAATATTAAAATTCTGTTAACTATCTTGCCTATATTATATACATTTTTCAATTATTTTATTTAGACAAACTTTGGAGTTTGATTTTTAGTAGTTATCAGTTCCTGAGCTGGATTGGTAATGAAATATTTCGGTCCAGTTCTAGGGTCGACGACAATTTTGAGTTGACAATTGGCTTCATGGATTGCTTGATTTTGAAACCAGCTTGGATCTGCAAAAATTTGGAAAAAAAATGAAAAAGAAATGCTTAACTTGTTTTATTTTTAGGTCATCCTTCACGGTTTTTTGTTTTTTTTAGAGGCTACTTCATATATTTCTTAAAAGAGAACCAAAGGTCAGTCTCCGTCAGTGTCAAGGGTAAGCCCTTTTTATATTAAAATTGTAGTTTTATTTTATCTGGTATATAACTGTAAAATATAAGCCGATATGTAGTTGTCAGGCTATATCAGCTTACAAAGCGCGTAACACAACATAATTCTTTAATAAATTTAACGAAAAACATTTTAATTTACAAATTAAAAATCTGAAACTGTAAGCACTCTTATGTTCTATTGCCTTCTTTTAAGGGCAACGGAATGGTAATGGCAATGAAGAGCACAATTTTTCCGTTCGTTTGAATATAATTATATGCAAAAAGATGTTTTAGTTTGGTAGCTATTCGATAAAATATTTAATTAATTTAATTTAATTTTTAATTTTAAAAAGCGCCCTCCTCCTCGATTCTCATAGGTTGCACTTAAGCAAGCCTGAAAAGCCGGAAAAATTAGTGTTTTTTTAAATCGTGTTTTTTTTTTGTAATTGGCTTTGTTTTTGTTGTAAATATTGTTGTTGTTATTGTATTTTGTTGTTGTTGTAATTTTTGTTGTTGTTGTAATTTTTTTGTTGTAATTTTTTTTTTGTAATTTTTTTTTTGTTGTAATTTTTTGTTGTTGTAATTTTTTGTTGTAATTTTTTGTTGTAATTTTTTTTGTTGTAATTTTTTTTGTTGTAATTTTTTTTTGTATTTTTTGTATTTTTGTTTAATTTTTGTTGTAATTTTTTTGGTAAAAGTTGTTGTATACAAATAATGATGACGTGGCGAAAGACCTATGGCCACCCATATCATCACATCACACTACCTCTCTAGTATAGCCATTAATCAAAGCCCTCGAGTTGAAGGTTGAAATTCCCACAAAAAAAGTGTAAATCCGATTGAAATATGAGTGCCAAAGCTGATCAAAGAGCTGAAGATGCATGATATTAAATACATGTATTTTTGCAGACACCTGTGGCACATCTGTGTCCATTTGGCCAAACCAAACCGAAGTCCATCCGAAGCAAGCGAAACCAATCCAATCTGGAGGCAATCCCCCCGTGTTGCAGTTGCAACTTTGTAGTGGCGGTTGCAACTTTGGACGATCTCTTTGCTGTGGCTACATTCAATTGTCGTTTTCATGGTCTGTCTCACAATTACGAATGGAAATTAAAAAGTTTTTCCCCGGCCTGGAGGGGGACGGGGAAGAGGACTACGGGACATAAGATGATGTGGGAAATGCAGAGCAAGTTTCCCGGCGGCGGGTTGAAGTACGAGGTAGTCCAACTTTGTGGCCATTCCGTTTGTTTCGTCCTTAATTTGAATGTTTTTCCGCTCTTTCCTTATTTATTTTATTTTTTTTTAATATATATATATATTTTTTTTTCTTGTTTGAACGACTTTCATGGGATTTATAACGGCTTGATTATTGCCCGATGCCGTGTCCTTGGCTGGTGGCAATTATCTCGCCAGTTATTGGGGCAAGGAATGGGGTGGTAAGCCTCTTATGACAATGCCCCGGAATGGCGAGATGGATGCAAGATTATCCAGCGAAACATAAGGCGGTGTCAGCAATGGCAACAACAGCTAGAAACTATCAACTAGCAACTTGCAACTTGCAACTGGCAACTGCCAACTAACAACTTGCAACCAAGCATCGCGTATACGACCTGTTTAACAGCTAATTTAAGCAGATTTATGACGCTGGATCGGATGTTGCAAGGTGGCACGATGGCACGATGCCACGGTGGCTGCTGTTGCTGCTTCTACTGCTTCTGCTGTGTGGCAGGATTGTTTCTTGCGGTCTGGCAGGATTTAGTGGCTGTGTCCTTTCACCTTCAACGGGAATTATTTTATTTACATTGCATGTCCCACACTATTTGATAATTGCTTACATTCTATTTATATTTTAATCCCACAGCAAGGGCATTTTCCTTTTTTTATACATTTATTTATTTAATAGAAAATAGTGGAAAGCTTTATTACTATGTGGCTAGTAAGTTATTAGTTTTAAATAAACTATTTCATTTTGTTTCTGGCTTCTGAGGAAGTTCATAATGGGTTGGCAGTGTTTATGGAAGTTAATTCTTTAGAAATTCAAATAATACTGACGGAGTATTATTTGTATGTTTACAATTTTTTTACTAGAAAAAGATACCCGATACAAGAGTTTATGCTTTTTTTCAGACCATTACTATTCGTTATTATGACTACAAAGTTTCAACATATCCATAGTTCCTTTTGTAGAGCCTTTAACCATGCCATGAGTCTCAGCAAGAAAATATTAATCTGGATTAAATAAAGGTTCCACAAAAAATATCTCGTAAATGTCCTTATTAAACATTTTCCAAACAAAAAAATGAATTAACATTCCCTTGAAAAAATTACTTAAATCTGTTATGGCTATTTTTTCACAAAATAATCCTTTTCATAATGATTTAACCAAAAGTTTGAATTACTTTATTTTTATGAGATTTAAAAACATGTTTTGTCTATTTTTTGGGGTTTTTGCCTTCCTCCTATATAAAAAGAACTCCCTTTCAAAAAATTCATTTAAAACTATACAACAAAGTTTCACTTTAAAGCCAATATTGCATTTTTAAACTATTTTTTTTATAAATAATGTCTTAAGAATTTTAAAATATATTTAAATCATTCAGAAATAAAACAAACAATTTTCTTTAACCTTTGACCTGGCAATCTATATATTCTTGCAGGATTTTTGTCTTTGTGGCCCGCAGGTCTGTGGCCAGGAGCCTGAATAATGGCCATCTATTATTCACGTATCCCATTTATTTGGGATACGACTTCATATCTCTGTATCCGGACATCTATCAAATCTTTGGGATGTATCTTTCGAATGTATCTTATGCCAGCTGTATCTGTAGCTGTTGCATTCGCGCGGCAAAAACAAAAGAAACCACACGAAAAGCTCTGGCTGGCGGGAAAGCTTCAACGAGTGCGCTGATTCAGCTAAAGCTTTCCATAGCCTTCGTCCCGTTTTCCGCTTTTCCGGTGTAACTTCCCGCCCCCTCTCCTTGCCTTTTCCAGCAAGACTCCTTTTGCTGAGTTTGAAATTTTGTTCCTTTTTCGATTTTTTTTTATTATTTATTTTTTGTTGTATTTTTTTTTGGCATGCACTTGTTGGGCGCTTTTCCGAAAATCAACCAACCGCTTTTCCACCACCACCACTTTTCACACCAGACCGCCATCGCGCCCGCCCGCCCTGTCCGATCCACTCACTCACCTTGGCACACTTCGGGTTTTTTTGGATTCGGTGGCTCTGTTTCGGTTTTGAGTTTCGGCTTTCACGATTGCGAATTGCGATTTCGGGGGCATGCATCAAGTGTAACGCTCCTCCAGTGCCAGTTTTTCCCGGGAACTCGACGCAGCGTGTTCTTCTGCCGCTGCCTGCCCCAAAAAAACAAACCATTTATTTCCAACATTTTAAACAACCAACGAAGAAAAAAAATTTAATTCAAAATCCAAAAAAAAAGAGGAATTCATTAAACAAAAGATAAATAAATGAATATATTTTTTTTATTTTTTGAGAACTTGTGATTGTGATTTTTTGATTGTGTGGCAAGAAAAAAACATAAAAATTTTTGCAGAAATTTCAAAGAGAAAATCAAAAGAAAGGTACCATTGTGATTAAAATAAAATATTTCTTATGGTGAATTAATATTAATTGATGTTTTTTAATTAAAGTGTTGAATTTTGAGGAAATATTTTCATATCTGTTTGGCTACCGCAACATTTATTCCCATTTTTTTTATCTTTTTCGATCCGGCAAACGATAATTCATTTGTAATCTACATTGATCATAAATAAACTCATCGCTTGTCATAATTAATTCAATGAACTTTTTGCTCTTGTTGTTGTTTTGATAATATATATTTTTGTCATTTTTGTTTTTGGTGTGATATTCGATAAGGTAAATTATAAAAACAAAAAATAGCAGAAAAACGTGGAAAAAGTTTGGAAATCTGAGTGACATTACGCATACGACATGTTGTACGGTTTTTGTTTAGTTTTGTTTGTTTTTTTATATTTATTTTTTGTTTTTGGTCTTGCATTTTTTTTTATGGCTCTGTGTGTGTGTTTTGGCCAAAGTTATGATTTATTATTATGCCATTATTGGCCAACTTCTTATCGCACTTGTCGCAGTTGCCTGCTTTGCAGGGATTCTTTTTTCTGCTTCTTTGGCACAAAAAATATATATATCTAAAATATACACTCCCCTGCATACATATATAGAAAATATATATATATATATATCTATAATTCATTAACTGAGTAATCGGAATCGATAATGCGATAAAATATTTATTCTCCGCAAAAAAGATAAACCGCTCTATTGGCTTAATATTTCCATTGTCATGGCCAACACTCGGCTATCGAACTTATTACTCATCAATGTCATGCTTCCAAATATGAATATGATTTTTATTTCAAAACCATTCAATGGTATTTTCTTGTTGTGTATGAGTAGTACATCGTATAGACATTTCGGGAATCCCCTTTTCTAAAGCAAGTGAAGTGGAAATTTCGGATCGGTTAATGGTTTGTTGCTTTATGGTCTGAAGACCCCATGGGACGTTGCTATTTTAATGGCCTTTTGTCTTAGACGCATATAAATTCCTTTTGGCCAGCCATTAAACCAGCTCAATCAGCAGCAGGAGCCTTAAGATACAACAACAAAAAAATGTACAAGATGCAAGAAAAAAAAGTATCTAAAAGATACAACACAAAAAAAAAGGGAAAAGTAAGAGAAGGCAGGACACCACAGGAGCTTTCCCTTATCAGTCTCGTGTGTAATCGCTCACTCATTGTTATGACTGCCATGCAGATTAACTACCCCGCCCCTCCTCCCTTATACCATACGATTTCAGGATTGGTAACTCCACTCCATGCCAGGCCATAGCACTTCATACCACTCCATTGGAAGCCTCGGTTATCCCGGGATATAGGAAAAACGGGGAGGATTAAGGGGGCTCAGTGCGAATTCGCAGAACGATTTTCGTGGATTTGTATCCGCGGAGGGAGGACAGTGCGTTTCGGTGGCATAAGGTTAGGGGTAACTAACCACTATAAAGGCGTGGCTAATTGTTAAAATAAAACAATTAATTGAAAACCGCAAACTCATTAAGATTTTGAACCATTTTAGAAAGGTATTTGAAGATTTCCTTTAATTTACTTTTTGTAATATTACTTTTAAGCACTTTTTCACCTTTCTTCCTTACAGTACCGCTACGTACTGTATTTATTGATACGATTGCAATTCCCCCAACTCGCTTATCGGTCGCCAAATCAAGTTATTCATTGAGATATTCCAATTGTGATTCCCATTCCGTTTCCGATTTCGATTCCGATTCCGAGTCCGACTCCGATTCCCTTGGCGCAATGGATGGATGGTCGCGTTGAAACACTAATTGAAACGACAACAATGTGGCACCAAAAACCCAAGGCGAAAGTACTTGGACAGGAGGGCGTGGCTTAAGGACGGTGGGTGGCTGGGACTTGTCGTAGGTGTTTAGCTACGATGGAGTGAGGAGAGCAACAAGTCAGTGCCTCAGTCTTCTTGGGACAGTTCATTAGGGGATAAAATTCAAGTCAACATACCACAACACACGCACACGAAACTAGTGGAAATTGTCTCATTAGTACAAGCACGCACACACACACACACCGACTTACACTCGTGTAAGCCCACACCCTTACAAACTATATCTAGTATATGTATATATGTGTGTATATCCTTCTAACAGGAGGCCAGGCCATAATTTCCCACCAAGAGGCTTGTCTATAAAAATCCTCACAAATTGTCGCTGTCATTGTTGCTCTTCTCTTCCTCAAGTCACTTGTCGGCTGTCTGTTGTCGCTTCTTCTTGTATATATATATATATTCCATATTCTATATAATATGTTGGTCTTGTAGTTGAATCTCCTTTAGCCATAAAGATGAAGTTGAAGGCGGTGGGAGACGCGGAAAACTAGAGCGAAAACTTGGCGCAAAAAAGTAAAACAAAAGACCTTTTTTCGCGCACAGTATCTTGAGATATGTTATACAATACATAATCTTATATCTTAAAGAAAAGGTTTTAAAAAATCAAATTTAAACTATGTTTTAAATTCTTTAAAAAAAACCTTCACCTTTGCCTTATTTGTATTTACTAAGCTGAAATTCCAGAGACGAATGCACTGGCACTATTCTAAGATATTATCAGGGATATAAGGATCTATATTACCCAGAAAAGGCTTTAAAGGAAATAGATTTAAAATATACTTCAAAACCTTTAAAAAATTCAACAAAATCCTATATCTTTGCTATATATTAATTGATTGAGAAACTAAACTTCCAGTGACGAATGAAAGTGCATTTAATAATTATAACATCCATAAACATTATAAGTAAGAATTTCAAACTAGAAAAACATGTAAGCTCTATTGCCACCTTTTCTTAGAGTATTTCTTAATTAGGTCGCTTAAAAATTGTTCAAAAAATAAAATATATTAACCATTTCGTCACTGAAACTAAAACTAACTAAAATCTTCATGCTCTTTCCATTTAAATAGCAATCTTGCCTCACTGTTGAAAGCAACAAGCTCCAGCACACATGGCCCTCGGCTGATAAGAAGTTTTTTTCTTTTATTTTGGTGCGTGCCCTAACCTTTTTTTTCTCCAAGTGTATGTGAGTATGTGTGTGTGTGGGTGCCGGCATGTCATTTGGCTGCTTTGGGTCATTGGCTTCCTTTTTTTTTCGAAGCGTAACTCAGACTTTAGTGTTCGGTCTTCTGGCTTTAACTTGGCTTTCTGTTTCTGTTACTGTTTTTGGCCCGATTCTCGTTATTGTTGTCGTGCTGATAAGCACTTGTTGTTGTTACTCTTTGCTATTTGCTGCCACTGTTGAATGTTGAACGTTGAACGTTGACAGTGCGGGCACCCCCTTATGAATCCAAAAGTGTGTGTTTGTGTGAAATTTTTGTAATGCCTGCGGCAGGAAAACACCACCAACAAGCCCAAAACCCTTTTATTTTAGAGGGGGGTGGTGCTGCTGCTGGTGCTGTTTGTTTAAATTGCCTTTTTCGTGTCATTCATGAGACAGACACAGAAACACACACGATTTGTGGGTGTGTGGGGGTGTGAGCCTACATGAATGATAAATATGCATGTCCCACGTTAACCCTACACCGCCTCCAACATATATACACCCCCATGTTAACCCTTACCGACTGCTCTCTTATCTCTTCATGCTAAACAAAACCGACACAAAATGGCATTTATAATTACTTTATAAATGCTCGGCTGCGGCTTTACGATTAAGCCGATCCTGGGTCCTCCAATAAAGCCCACCACCCACCGACTTCTACCGCTGTGACACATCTAGCTTGGCTTTTTCATAAATATTCAAATCAATTTTGGAAAGACAAAGTTACACAACTAACACAAGTATGTAGGTGGAATTGGTAATACCACCGGGCTCTAAGGGGAAATGTAATATTTAATTCGGTCTGATTGCCGACTTGTGTAGTTTATGGCTTGGGTTCAATATCCTAAATCTTCCCAAAGGACTTTAATAGTTTTCTGGGGTTCTTTTTGGTAGAAAGTATTAAGTATTAACCGACCTTCAAAGATAAAGTCCTTGTGTTTTGGTATCAAAATATTTAGGGATACCAGGTGTCAAATATTTTATAAATTCAACTCTACCCATTTTTTTTTAAATATTTTTGGAACCCATAAAGTCTTCAACTCTATTGCAGACTCTCCAAAAGTGTGCACTAGTATGTTTATCCTATGTTATGACTACTTTGGCTACCAAAAAGAGATGCTTTTAAATCTTCGAGTCTACCAGCTTAGGCCATAATGGAAATGCTGTCTCCCAAAAAGAGAAAAAGTGTATAATAATAATAATAAATAAAGTAGATTGCTTTGGATGGCAGTGGGCAAGTGCGGCAACCACATGCCCATCCGCAAATCCTTTTCTGTTCATCTGACAACAAAAGTGCGCTTACCTCGGACACTTTTCCATCTTTTGTGTTATTTTTGTTTAATTCCGAATAGGAATTTGAAATTGTTTGATTTTGATTTCGGCTCTTGGCTCTGTGCTCTTTCCTGTGGCCTAGTCGAGAGCTCAACAATTGAAAGGCTTAGTGTGCGATTTGATGCTCTATTTATACACAACTTTGAGACTCAATAGATGCCATAGAGAACAGTTTCCACTGATTTAAAATCTATTTTTGAGGCCCAGGCTTCTCCAGTTTTTTTTTTTTGTATTTGTATTTGTCCACTGTTGCTCATCCTCGCCCCCGCCCCGCCTTCAGGATATTGTGGAGCTCCTTCATGGCTTTTGTTTCGTTTGTGACATTTCATTTTGGCTCCCACCCATCGCCTTGCTTTCCTTGTCTCTGATTGTTTATTTGTTTTTCATCAGATTTCTGTGCAGAGCCTACACCCATTTGTCCCTCCCATAAAATATATGGCGGCTGTATAGATGGAGAGAGTCCTCCGCACCCCATCCTGTCCTCTGTCCCCGTCTCGATTCATTAGCATTCTGGCCAAAAAAAAAAAACAGAGAAAAAGGAAAATTTATTTTTCTGGCCCCCAGAGGGAGAATTTTCTGTTGTTTATCTTTGTTTGTTCTGGCCATTGTTGTTGTTGTTTTTGGCTTTTTCTGATCTTGTTGTTGTCAGCCTGTTGCTTTGCCAATTGTTGCTGTCCTTTGTTCCATTCCATTGCCTTGTATATTATCTCTTTTTTTAGTTTCATTCCTTAACGCCATTAAATTATTAGCATTATTATCTTTTTTTTTGCAGTCTTTTATTTTAATTTTCTTCAAAGTTGGAAATGTCAAGTTTCCATGTCTGTTTGTTGAAGTGTTTATTCTTTTTTAATTATGTCTTAGAACTGAATAGTGTATGTATATTTATTAAAAAGTTTTCTTAAGTTACATTCAAAATTATATAGAATATCTCCTTCAACCTTGTCCGCTTTTCTTCTAAAACTCCATGAAGGCTTAAATTTAAAACCTTTACAAAACCCACAAAAAAAAACAATCCTGTCAAAATCATGTCCATCTGCTTGTCCAACCAATTATTATAATTATTAAAATTTGTTCTTGTTTTTAAAGATAAAAACTTGCTACTTTCTAGAGAGTACTTTCCATAAAGTTGAGCTTTGCCCGAAAAGTTACCTTTCCTGTCTTGTTGTCTAAACTTCTAATAACTTTGGCCTCAACTGGAATCTGTTGGAAGCTGAAAACTCTCATTTTTGCCAAAGCAACCGCCCACCCACCTGCCTGATTTTTCCATCAAAACCATACTGAACATGGCCAATTATAAAATACGCGAGATCTCTGTACAAAAATGGATGGAAAAAAAATAACGACAAAAGCAATATTCTGGGGGAACGGAGGCGGAGTCTATAGACTGCCAACGTTTGTGGCCCTTTTCAAGAGCATCTGCACCACCCACCCACCAGAAGCGCCTCCTCCAGAAGCATCCACTGCCACCAGCCACATGTACTCTACATAGCTCCCCCTGCCTGTAGTACATATCTGTGTACATATAGAGCTTTATGTTTATGCACATGCAAGTATTTATGCTTTTCAATTTTAGTGCTGCACCTGGCTTGGGTGGTTGGGGACGGATGGTCTGAGTTTCGGCAGAAACAGGTGAGCCAATGCATTCAGGGCCAGTCACGAACCTTTTGAACACTAAATACACCACACACCAGATGCCAAGGCAAATGCCGGATGGGTGAACTATGGACTATGTAGACTCAGGACTCAGGACTCTGTACTCTGTACTCTTTACTCTGGACTGTGGATGGGTAGTGGCTGGATGGCTGGATGCCTGGATGGGTGTTTGGTCAGGACATTAGGCATTCAAGTTGGGTGAAAGCTAGATAATCCCAAACACGAGCAAACCGCAAAACTGCCAGCAAAATGGAAAGTATCATTGAATTTCCATAGAAGGATTTTTCCACTCATTTCAAAAAAAGAGTTTCCCACCAGAGTTTACTGCTAATTTTATTATGCGTTTTCGCCAAAAAATTTTCCCAACAGAGACGTCAGGTAAATTGGTACCTTGCTGCCTTCAAAAATTATCCCAGCCCGTTGGCAATTTTGTATTTCAATTCATTTCGTTTTATGGCCGCTACGTTTTCATGATTATTTATTTCGAAATATACGTTTTACGATTTCCACACCCAACCACCACCTTTGGGTGCCACCACCGCCCCCAAGTACTTATTCAATGATTTATTATTATTATTATCGTTATGTTTAAATTCGTAAAATTGCAATGAGAAAGCGGAAAATGTTAAGCCGATAATAAAATAAAGCAACAGGAAGCGTGCAGAAATCCTTGGCAGACTAGAAGAAATCCAAGCCATAGCTTTAAAATAATTCCAGTCTAGTCTGAGATTCGTGAGTTGAATCAAAGTTGCTTAAACTTTGTTTTTGCTATTTTTTTTTGGTTGGCATTGGCAATTTTTGTGGACTTGCCTCTTAACTTTATGCAAATCGAATTGTTCAAGTGCAATTGAAAAGTTTCAATTTTTTCCACCGATTTTCAGCATGACTGGAAACTAAACTTTTTTCAGAGCAAAAAAAAATAAGAAAAAATGTAGAGAAAATTAATTTGGGTTTTTTTTTAGAGAATAGAGAGGAACGAACTAAATGTTTGGAAAATAGAAAAGACCGCAGAGATCCAGTAAAGCGTAAGGACGAAGACAATACACAGGGACCGCAGGCAATTTCCTCACCGTCGTCCTTCCCCATCGTCTTTTGCTGGTCGGAGGATAATCCATTTATTCAGCTGACTGCAGTCAATATGCCGCAACTCGTTTAACTTGAGCAAATTTTCGGGCTCCTAAGCCGCAACCAAAGTTTTCTCTCCCCCATCTCCTCTAGTAGTTTCGGATCAACTGGTCTTAAGACTCCTCCTCATGTAACACACACCCATCTAAGGCACACACACACCCACACACCCAAAGTTTCACTTCCTTAAACGGCTTTCGGCTCACAGAAGCCCACAGAATATTGAAAAAAAAGAGCAGGTCTTGGCAAAAGTGAATCTTAAATGCTCCCAGAAGTAGGCAAGCAAAACGTGTATAAAATGCAAAATAAATCATCAAGCGGAAAATATCATTTTATTTACTTTTTCCTATCAAGACACTTGTAAAATAAACTACAACTCTTAAGTAAAATTTATTTTTTAAATTGAGAGATATTTCAAATAGTTAAATGGCTAAAAAAGCCAAAAAAGAGCCATAGATCTTCTTAAAACAAAACCCCAAAAAAATAAAAACCCGCCACTTCTTTAATATTTTAAATAAAAACTAACAAACTAACTAACTAAGTAGTACTAGCTAAATGCAAAATAATAAGCCGACTATATTTCCTTTCATTTTCCCATTCTTGAGCTCATTATTTTGTTACAAAGCCAGGTATATAATATAAATACTATATAGTATGCATATATTTTTTTTTGGTGAGACCAAAAATGATTCAGAGACCGCAGAATATGCATAATACCCGACAATTGAGTTTGCCTCGAGTGGCGTCTGGGTTTCGGTCTCGCCGTTGCAACAGAGCTTTTCCTGAATTTCCTCGCATTTTCCTAGTGATTTCGAGGCATTTTCCAGCGATTTCCGTTGCTTCTTCCTTTTTTGGGTATGGGTTTGGTTGCCACAATTTGTTGCACATTGTGCTAACTACGGGAGTCTTCCATATTTTTTTTTTTCGGTGAGATGGGGGCTTGGGGCAAGGTCGGAGGCGAGGGCGTGTCAAGTGCCGCAGATGTGTATTTGTGTGTTTGGGGGAAGATTAAGTTGCACTTCAAGTAACATTTAATCGCCTGAAATGCATTTTGAAGAGATGCCTCTAAGTTGCCGGGGCTTCTGCATCTAATTTCCTGCATCATCTGGTTGCCACAACTACTACTCTCTTTTTCTCTCTGGGTGTGTGTGTGTGACTCGTCTACTTACTCCATTAAAGTCTAATTAATGTCAGAGTCTCCTCCCAGCCTTTCTGCCTTTTTGTTCATATTTTTTTCTAGATTTTGTTCCTTCTTTTGTTTGAACGTGAAGTCCAAGGACTGCCTTCTGCTATGCCTGCCTTGCAACAGAAATAGTCGAGAAATTAAAATAAGTAGCCGAACATTTAGTGAGCAAAGGGGAAGTTACAGCTTTCACTTTCACCTTCACACCTCGCATAAATCTGTTTAATTAGCCCAAGTTGTGCCAACTTTCAGAAAATCCTAGAGTTTTTTCATTATACACTAAAAAAAAAGAAAGTTTGTTTATATTTAAAAGCTTTCTTATGTTAAAAGTGAGTTAAATAATTAAAACAGGGAGAAATATCCTTTGATATGCTAAATAATACTTTTTTAGTATTTTAAAACATGTTTAAACTTATCCCATTTAAAATATTATAAATATATTGTTTGTTTATATTTATAAACGTGTATATTTTAAGAGGAAGTTATATATATAATGGAATATACATACATTGTTTGCCAAAATTCACTGATTTTTACTATTTTTAAAAAACAACAAGAAAAACATACTTAAGCTTATTTATTTAGTGTGCCCGTAGCCCATTTGAAAATATTTCTTAATGTATTTTACAAGTATCCTGTATTGTATCCTTTTAAGGATAACGATTTCAACTTTAATTTCAATTATCAAATGCCGACACCCCGCCGTGTTGGGCTTATCTTAGCCCAAAAGGGTGGCGAGCCGTGGTTGGGGGATTTGTAATTTATGGCTTTGTCTCATCCGGAACATTTTCAATTTGCAGGCAAACAGTAGAGGGGAACTGGCCAAGGAAATTATCATCATCGAGTCACGTAATTAAAACGAAACGCAAGACGACGAGAGACGAAACGCAAAGTATAGCTCCAGCAAACGGGCAAATATTTGTGTATATTAGCCAGAAAAACAAAAAAAAAAAGAAGGAAAAAAAAAACACCAGAAACAGGCAACAAGGAGGGCTAATAATAAACTAAGGTAAGAAACGGTAGCTGGAGAGCAACACCGTTAACGTGGCCATAACAGTTGGCAGTTAGCGCTACAGTTACTGCAACAGTTACTGCCCCACTTACACTAACACCCATCCCCACTCACACCTACACTGCTGATAATAAAAATTCGCACGCACCAAGAGGCGACTGGGCCGTAGAGGGCCAAATACAGAACAGTGCCTCAGAAAAGTTATCGTTTTTTGTCCAATGTTTATGCAAACCCACTGACAAGCAGCCGGCCAACAGTAGAGGAACTTTCGTCACTGAAACAACAACAACAAGAAAGGAGGAGAAACAACATAGCAGGATGCGTGGTCGTCACTTGCGTCGCCGGTTCAGCCTGCAGCCCTCCTTCATGAAGGACGACAATGCCGAGGAGAAGCCCAAACGCGACAAGTAAGTTATGGCCCAGTAAACCCAAAAAAAAAAGTAAATCCCCATCCCCCATCCCCAAAAAATAAAAACACAAAAGCATATGTACCGGTAGAGCAGCTCACCTGGATTTTCCGAGCCACTTCCAAGCCAACAAAAAAGGGTAAAAGGATATGCTTGTTGAGCCGCTGAGTAGCCCAATTTTTTATAGTTCATAAAAAAGTGGGTTGAGCGAAAATGGTGAAAGTGTGGCCAGGGTTAAGAAATATAGTTGCCAAAGATGGAAGTTTGCCTCAAAATTGTGAAATATTTCAAGCTTTAGAAACTAAAAGTTTATTGTTTTAGTTTTTAAACAAAAAACTTAAAAAATATTACTGATAATATTGAAACTTTATCAGAAAAATAGTGTGACCAAATTATAAAAAAAGTCTAAAACCCTTATTATTATTTAAAGCCTCTTGAAAAAGATATTTTTTTTTAAATTCCCCAAAAAGTGTCAAAGTTGTAAAGGAACTTCAATCGCTGCCCGCAATAATTGCTGAAGAATTTTCCAGCTCCCCAGAAATTCCTCAATTCCCTTCGAGCACCAAAGTCCTGGAACTTTATAGAAAACATTCCAAGTTGAAGAGAATGTGGTTAGATCGGTTCCTTTCGATACATATAGTATAGTATGTAACTCCAAAAAATAAGTGGAAGGGGTTTTAATTTTTTTTTTTGTTTTTGTTTTTACTTTGGGGCAAACATTTTCATTTCTTCATCAAGTTCAAAGGACGCCAAAATGAAAGAAAAGGACGAAGAGTACACAGAAGAGGCTGGAATGGATGGGGAAAATAGGGAGAAAATGGGGAAATTGTGGAAAGGGAAGAGGAAAAAAGGCGTTTCCCTTCCTGATTTTCCGGCTATCTGCCAGGACGTCTCTCACTGTCCGTCTGTCCGTGTATCCGTCTGCTTGTCCCTCTATCCGGGTGGTGGGCTTGTCCGTTTGTCCGTCTGTCCGTTGGTAGTTTGCATACTTTTCCTTTGTTTCGCCTGTCAGGACAAGAATTTCATGTTTGGCTCGTTTTCTTTTGCTGGGCCTTTGATTACAATTTTTTTTTTCTTGTTTAATTTTTTTTGTATATTTTTTCCTTCCCTGCGCTACCCAACACCCGTGGGAAAATATTTATAGAATATGCCAACAAGGTGCCAAAAAAAAAAAAAGAAACAAAAAATAAAATAAAGAAAAACGCGCTTATTAAAGTCAAATTTGATCCGTTGTCTCAGGATGGGCAATTATAGCACTTCTCCTTTTTCGATTTCTGGGCGAAGGGAGAGATTTTCCTGATTTATCGTAGCAGACTGCAAAGGATACTCGAAGGATACTCAGACGAAGTTAGAGAAGGACAAGGAGGAAAGGAGCCAAGAGCTGTCAGTGGCCGAGAGCCCCGGATTCTGTGGCTTTTCGAACAATGTCCAGCCGGAAATGGCATTGGATTTCATCGCATATATGGGCCCACGTTCCATCCAATATCTTGACGCCCCTTACCTCACCTCACCCCGTGGGTTTTTTCTCTGTCAAGGATATTTCCTGCCAACTGTTAACTTTCGCTGTCATCCTGCAGAAAAAGATAACAAAGTTTCTCGCCGACGCCTCCCCACCCATCTCCAGTCTTGCAAAAAAAATTGTATAGACAGTGTCATTACAGAGCAATTATTTGGTTTGGTTATATACTTTAGATCCTTACATAAAATAATAGTTATAAAGCAATACGTAAGGGGCTTTAATGAAAAAATTTTTAAATTAAATAATTTTGGGTGAATTTTCAAAAACAGTAATGCGGTTTTTTGGTATATTTTTAAAGCTTAAGATGGGTTTGAGTTTCGTTCTTTTTTTGGAAATATTAGCCTTAAAACTATGGATTATTTAGAAGATTGTTTCTACTGAATTAAACTAAAGTAACTATTAATTTACTAATTAATTTACTACTAATATTAGTATTGGTATTAAACTACTAAAGTAACTATCGTAGCCCTGCTATTATATTTCGAGGCAATGATTTATTTTAAATATTATTTAAGTCATCTAAAAAATACCTACGTATATACATATCCCAGACCCTAACTGATATGTATATATTAAACCCACATTAAGGCCGTAAAGGTATTTTATGACAAGCTGCAAAGCGGACATTGCTTTAAATACAAATAATTCCCACGGTTCCCAATTAATTTGCAAACAAGAGAAGCAGCCGGAACACACCTGAACAGGTGTAACTGTGTGCTATATACGTTAACCCAGGCTGATATATATATACTGTGGGATATATATAATGTTTATATACCTATATATATATAGAGAAGGCAAGTCCGCCTTTTGTTTGCTGTGTCGTTTGTGTCGCTTTGTGATGTTGCGACGTAATGATTAATTTTAAATGTGGCGCACAGATTTAATGAGTCGCCCTGGGGATAAAGCTTCGCCGGCCCCCAGGACTCGCTACGCCCATTGCAAATTGCAAAAAGGGGTGTGGCAATGAAAAAAGGTAGACTTCCACGGCCGGGAAAGCGAGGCAAGTTATTAAATCATGCATCAAAATGGAGAGAGAGGAAAGAGGCCTTTCCGCCGCATCTGAATTAATTGAATTGCAACGAACTTAACTCGCTCAAGTCACGTACCACATTGTTGCCTTTTCACTCTTTATTTTCACTGCCTGTTGCTGGTTTATTAAATGTGGGTGTATTGCCTTTTATTTTTTTTTTTGCCCTTTTTTGTGTCAACCCGAAAATCGCATCACGCATACGCAGAGTGGGCCGGAACAACGCTGTGGACGATGCCATCGGACCGGCCAATGCCCGCCACAAAATCGTCGTCATGGGCTCCGCCAAAGTGGGCAAGACCTCGATAATCACACAGTTTCTTTACAATACGTTCAGCACCAAGTACAAGCGGACTATCGAGGAGATGCACCAGGGTAACTTCTCCATCGCCGGGGTCAGTCTCACCCTCGATATCCTAGACACGGCTGGTTCCTATGAGGTGAGTCTTGCATGGTATTTAAAATATATGGTAATTTTGATCTGAAGAGATTTATTATAAATCTTAGGAGATCTTAGGATTAAGAACTAATATTAAATCACCTAAAATATATAGCAACATTTTCTTTTTTAACATATTAAAAACATTAAAGAAAACCCCCCTTAACAATACCTTATAGAAACCCTAAAAGAAATCATAAATTCTCTAAAACAAGAATACAATTTCCTTGTTAATTATCTTAAAATAAATAATTAAATATCCAAGTTTCAATTTTTTTTTCCGCATAATAGTTGAATAAATTGAATTACCCTAGACGCCATACCATAGCGCCCCTGGAGAACCCGGACCAAGGGAAAATTGCACACTTTCCGGGCGTTGTAATTCATTGAAATTAGCAGAAATCGAATTGAATATTTTTATGAGTGCACTCTGTGGCCCGGAGCTCCTTTGCACGCTGGGTTCATTAAGTGAATCAAATTGTTTGCGGCCAAGGAGAGGGATGAGGGATGAGGGAAGTGAGTGAGGGGCTATACTCATGGTGGCTTATCCTGCGGCTGGAGTCCTGCTGGTCCTGCAGAGAGCTTTTAATTTTAAATAACCGACTCTAATGGGCTGCAACAGGACGCCAGTAGCATTTAGTTGGTTTTCAATATTTCAAAGAGCGACAACTGGCCAGGTGAGTGTATCCTCCTGGTGTATCCTGCTGGTCCTGCTGGTACTGCTAGTCCTGCTGGCCTGATGGAACGTGGCTCCTGGTTCCGGGAACTCTGCTTGTGAAGCAAGACCATCACCATCATCATCATCATCCAACCAGCTGGGTGCAACGGAAATTACAGCCTGCGATTCAATTTCGCTGGCACTTCCGCTGCGTCCGCGATTCGAAATGCTTGTTCATAAAAGCGAACACTTTTCGAGAGGTGAATACAAAAAAAAATACAACAAAAAAAATTATGGGGGCTGGGGAGATCCTTATTCATACCTTATGAATGCAGGCACAATGGCCCGTCATCCATATACATATCCAATACATATATATGGATGATGGCTACAAATGGAGTCAGTCAGGCAAAGAGTGCAAGCCCAGTCAAGCCAACTGAACTGTGACTCTGGCTCGACATTCGACGGTGTCCTTGGCGAAAAATGAGGGAGCATTCATATGTCATACGGCCAAGGCACTGAGGGAAAATATTTTAAATAATAAGGTAGGAAAATCACACATTTTTATGATAAAGAAAGCTTACCAAACAAAAATGAAGGCCAGAAACAATGAATTCTTAAGAAAAATTTAGAGCTCGCATTTATAATAACACATAATTTTAATTAAAAAACCTATAAAATATATTAAAATTCTACAAGTGTACCATTTCTATGACCATTTCCCTGCCACCTTTAATTTTTTTTTAAGTGCACCCTTCGATTTATGTATTATAGAATGCAATCTTACAACAGATATGGATGGCAGGGACTCGCTACAAAAATAGCAACACCAACAATAAAAATAATAAAAAAATAAAAAAAAAAGGTAGAATGGAACTAATGAAACGGATTCGCTCGGTAGCTCAAGCGTATCCTGACTCTTGGCCATAATGGACCGACAAATGAATCCTTGCAAGTGAGAAAATCATTAAGGACACCCGGGACCCATGGCCCATGGCCCGTGGCCCGTGGCCCGACTCCCAAAATCCGGATGGTACGCTTCCTGGGATCCTGAATAAACAATAGAGGGAATAAACGTTTGACAGGCCGACGAACCCCTTGATTCCGATTCGTTTTGCAGGTTAGGCTGGCTAAAAACAACAACAACCGTGGCTAACAAGGCTAACAACAAACAAGGCATAAATTTTAACACATTCACGCACTGCTCATAAATTTTACGAGCCCTTGGGGCGAAACTAGCGGCCAGGACAGAGACAGAGCCTCTGTCGTCGTCGAAGGAAGAGGCCGGCGGGCGGAAACATAAATCGCCTAGTGGCAGGTCACATCATGCTTCTATATACATGTATATTCTTATGTGTTGGTGTCTCGGCAGAGGGTTAATAATAGTCCTTGCCAGGACGATCTGAACGAAGAAGAGTAGGTCAAGTCTGGTGTCACATAATCCTGATATATGCGTTGATTGCGAGGGGATTTGCACCCCGTTCATTTTCCTTCTTTTTCTTTTCCCCCCCAGCCAACGAGAGCGACTGCAGTTTTTCAAACTCCACTCCATCCTCCAAGCCCCTCGACACTTTTCATTTTTCCATTTTCCCATTGTTGGTCGCATTCGTCATCAGATGGAAAACATTTGCTGCGGCACACGGTGCGGATGCGCAATCTTTTTCAGGGAAGTGACCAAACGAACACACAGCATTGTGTCCCCAAAAGATACACAGGGGACACAGTGCGTTTCATAGTCATAATTTGGGGCTACAAAAGGGTAGCAATTGTTTCCAAAAATTGTTACAAAAAGTCAAGGATAAAGAGTACATAAAACCTTAAAGACTTAATATTGAAAACATTAAACAAGAGGCTTAAAACTTAGAAATATAACTTCCCCACAAAAATAATATAAAATATTTGTGAAATATAACAGTTTCGCCCGCGTCGGCTTTGACTTTAATTCATTTAACACAAAATTACATTAAAATGTATTCGAAATTATTGAAGAGGAAGGCATTAATTATGCTGCACAGGAACGTGATGCAAAAAGCATGTTTTTATTGAATCCAGCTACCATTTCCAATTAAAATCAAACAAACAAAAAATGATGTAGGTGTATTACTTAATTTGTGGCTACAAAGGTAGACTAAAGTAGTGTTATTTTGATACCAATTGTAAGGTTTCTAGAGGGTGTTTTGGTTTTTAAAAATAATTTAATAAGATGCCTGGTACTACTCAGTTAGTTTTCTTCTTGTTTTAAAGCTTTTACTGTATAATACCTGATACTATTCAGATAGTTTTCTTTGCTTATGTAGCATACTTTTAAGCTTTAACTAAATAATACCTGATACTGCTGTGTATTTTTTCCTTAATTCTTAGAGACTCTTTTCGGTTTCATAATATTTTTCATCATAAAAAAAAACTATATAATACCTGATACTTCTCTGTCCATTATTTCATCCCCAAAACTAAGTAAGAGCCATCAGTTCATGTGGCACACTTTTAGGCTTAAAGAGGCCGTGAATAGACCACCGCATTGTGGCCAAATAGTTTTCACGCCGACTTAGTCCCCTGGCAAGGTTCCACCATGCGTATGAGTGATATTTTTGCGTGTGCCAAAAGATAACAAGCCGCAGGCCACACATTTGCTCCTTCTGTTCTCGCCTCGTCCTCGTTCTCGTCCTTGTTCCTCGCTCCTGCCACCGTTCTATCAATATTTGTTTCACAATTCCAACGGCAACTGAAATTACTGGCACCAAAAACCAAAATACGAAAAAAGAAAAATACAAAAGTGGATGAAACAATCCAATGTTTACCTGCTACAAATGGTATTTGCACAAAAATTCCAATTTGCAAATATTTTTAAAAAAATATATATGTATATTGGCCAGAAGCTGTTACCCGACAGGGTCGACCTTCAAAATACCCCGCATATTCTTCAATGTCCTGGCGTTAATTATAATTGAATTTCATTGGCTGCTGCAGAAAATATTGTTTAAAATGAAGCTTAACCCGAAACCCGATTCTCATAGCCATTGTTTTTGGTTTTCAGCCAAAGTGCATTTTTTTTTTTTAGCTTCCCGCCTCCGACCGATATGTAATTGGATTTTCTCCGCCCATTCTCTCCCGGGCCATTGAATCGGCATTTTACATTTACCATTTTCATTTTGCGAATCAATAATGCCCACGTTATGAGTTCATAATAGACATCGACGTCGGGGTATACTCAATTGCATTATTATTTGTATTTTTTCTTTTTTTTTGGTAGCACTGCGTTGTTTTCAAATTAATCACACATGCCCTGGCCGCAAGTCTTCATCCTGGGAAGGGAACAAAAAAATACACCACACAAAGATATACAAACAATAATATATATATTTTTTGTGTTACTTTTGACATTATCTGGATAAAAACCAGAGACAGAGAGAGGATTTTATTACAAATATTTGCAGCACATTCCCTTCAAATTGTATGTTTTTTTCCTTTTTTTTGTTTCATAAATTCCAAATATTTGGACTCCACTTAATCCCAAAACTATTGGTAGTTCTGGCTTTGAGTCAAGTACGAGAAATTCAAAAATTCAATAACTCCAGGCCACAAATACACACACTCACACCCATCGAGACAGAGAAACTAAAAGGATATAGACCCAGGACATGCGGCACGTGTGAATCCTGTTAGTGAACTTTAAACTAAGTTAAAGTTTTTCATTTTCTGTTCGGACTCCGGAGCCGAATCAACTAAGTGTTTTGTTTTATTTGGTTTTGTTTACCTCGACCAAATGCTGATGCTATTGCCACATCACTACGAGTCCAAAAATTGAATCTACTTTTCAAAGGAAATAGGACCACCGAGAAAACTTTTCAGTAATTCACATTCAGATTCAGACAGTAGTTTCTGCTACTCAAAGAGTTGCTTACTGTTGGAATTCCTTGAATATGCAATATGGATGCATATCATGGAGGGAAGTTGGCATTTCCTCGATGCCCCAATATTTGCAATTTGAAATCCCAGACTTCAATATTTTTTATTACATATTTTATTTGTTGCAATTTTTTTTTAGCAAATTTCCATTGGCTATGGATCTATGGATGCAAAAACGCTATCGAAAAGCGCAAAACAAAAGTCACACAATCAGCTCGGCAAGTGGAAAGTGGCAAGCGTCGGCAGTCCATTGAGAAATCAAGAGGCAGCGTGTGGAAAATGGGCGAGAGCTCACGGATGGGGGGAGAATGCTACAAGAATTGCAGAGAAAAATTCGGGAAAATAGTTTTTCAAAAACATAGTTTAATGAAAGAAAATATTTATTGAGCTTTTTTTTATTAAAAGCTTACAACAAAGTAACTTTTATTGAGTTAATAGCTCTACATAATAGTTTTTTTTGGTCCTTCGAGACAGATTAATGATAAAAGTAACTAAACTCTAAAAAAAATTCCCATAGCTTCGTTTTTTTAGGTAAAGTTAAATATTAGGAACATTCAAGAACGTTTTACGTCTTTGGTCCTTGGAGACAGATGATTCAAATCTCTTCGAAACCAAGACCTAAAAGATAAGATTTCTTAACATCCCAACTACTGATTTCCTTCCAAACTATAATGAAAAGCCAATTAATGACAAAATCTATCAATACCCCTCCATTATTTTCGCACTGTGCACCAAAGTAGAGCTGACAGCAACAGGAACAGGCTCTCTGGCTCAGGCTCAGCATCCTTGCGGTGTGGCGCCTGGCTTGTCGCATGTGTAACAAGCGGAAACCACAGGCGGGGATGTCAGTGATGGGGTGGGGGAGGGCAGTAGCGGCGGCGACTCGTACGGGGGCGTGGCAGGATGTGGCGGGCCGTGAAAAGGAGTGTGAGTATCCAGAAATTGGTGGCCGTGGAGTCACCTACAGTGCGTTGCACAAAATGTCCTCCGGAGCAACAGAGTTTTGAGGCACATTCAAGATGAGCTACCATTCAACGGTATTCGGTTAGAGACCTCCCACCTCTACACATCCCTAGCTTTCACTTCCTTTTCCGGCTTACCTCCTCCTCAACCATCTTGAGCGTGTTATTTACAGTAATATGCTATCATAACAATGGCTGCTCAGCGCCAAAAAAAGAAGAAATTCGTAAAGAAATGAGAAAACATTTCCAACTCGTTTTTGATGAGATGAAAACATCGGTTTTCCTTGCAGAGCGGGAAAATAAAATAAAGAAGCAAAATGCTGTAAGATAATGGCGGTGGGGTTGGGTGGTTTGTGCCCCAAAATGAAGCTACTTTAAGTTGCGCTTCGGAAATTGTCTGGTACATGGAAATGATGCCCAGCACGGTCATAAAGCTAAACAAATTTCAATGGCTGGCGGACAAAAAAGAAAATTTAAAAGTCAGCGAATAAAGGTATTTTTAGGGGGAAATAAATTCTAGGAATTCTTCAGAAAAAGAGACACGTCTCAAACAGGTGTTCGGGGAACATTCTGGGAATTCAAAATAAAATCACAAGAATATGCTAGGTGTTTGGTTGTTACTTGAATAAAATAAAAGCTTGAGAGATTTTTAAACTCAAAGTGCTTAAAACAATTATGGGGGAAATATAAATCTGGAAAATACTGTTCTTTAAATAGAGAAAAATTAGAGAAATTAGAAAATTAGAATTAAATAGAGAGAAAATTTCTAGGGAAGCTTATCCCTCAGGAACCTTTTTTGAAGAGATCTTTCTACTTGTTTTAATAGCCTTTTGTTAATGCCAAAAGGCATTTTGTAGTGACTACCATTTATTTTCTCACCTTTTTTAAGAAAATCTATAATCCAAGTCTAAATAAAAAATTAATAATTAATTCTTATCAATTAAAAGTAATTCCCAAGCCACAGAAGTAGAGAGCAAATTGATTCTGTTCCTCGACTTGTTAACCATTTGTTTCCGCAACAATTTCCAATCGTTTAGTGGCCATTTTTAGGTTAAGGCTTCTCGCCCCCCATTTCGGGTTCAAGTTCAGGTACAAGGTCGAGCCAACATCAGCCGCCCACTCGTTCCACCCGCCTTTTTTGGTCCACCACCCCCATCCCCCCATCCCCTTGTGTGGCAACCCTTGTGCTATCTGAACGGCAGGACACTTGGGTGGCCATTGTTTTCGAGGGTTTTCCTTTCGGCGTTCATTTTATGTGTGTGTATATGTTTGTGGGTGGCTTTTTTGTTTCCTCGTTGGGAGATTTTCATTTGGATTTTCATTTTTCAGTGGCCTGCACACATTTCAATGCTAGCCTTTTTATTAACACGGACTGCTCCTTTTTTGTATTTGGCCTTCTTTTATTTTTTGTTGTGTTGCCCCTTTATTTATTTTTTTGTTTTTTTTTTTTTTGCGTATTCAATTTAAAACTAACTCGGCAGGCACATGCCTTTGAAAGCCATTAGTACTGGGTGGTACACAGAGTAGGGATATACATACACTCACACAACACCCATATACTCTCGTTTATGCACACATAGATACGAATGTATCTTTTGGCCAAAATGCTGCGGTTGCGGTTCCCCGGCCTGTCAGACAAACGAGAATGGAGATGAAGACGATGCCAGTGAACTGTCGCCGCAGTTTTTCAGCTCCTCCCCCTAGTTTTCCTATAAATTTTCACAAACATTAAGCCTTCCATGTATATAATGCACTTGAAGAAAATTTTAAGAGTTCTTATAAGGCTAAAATTAAAGGTAATTCTGCTAGAAATTTTCGCTTCATAAGCTACTTATTTTAATTATTATTTTTCTTAATACCTTCTCTAAGATAACCCCTTTTCTCCCAGTTATGAGACTAATTTGTTTCATTTGTGTCCTGATTGGACCTTGCTCCTCCGATCGGTGGACGCGCCTGAACTGAACGTTGTTCGGGGAATTTAAAAGATTCAAAACCAAACACATGGTGAACTGAAAATGAAACTAAAACTGAAACAGAAACAGAAAACCAAACACTGTATATGAATCTGAAAACGAATCTGAATCCGAGTCTGAGTTGGGTTGAAAGTGCCACAATAGTGAACATGAAATGACAGGAGGAGGGACTAGAGTTCAGGGTCAGGACATCAAGGACCTTTAATTAAACCCGAAACAAACAGCCACGATATGACATAGTTTTGTGTGTCTGTAAATATTAATTAAGGGAATATTCGGGGGATAGTACGAAATGCAGAGAGAGAAAACCCACCTTTCGACACCGAAAAGCAATCAAAAATGCATTTTTGGCCATAAAGTTTCGTCTGCCAATATTTACCGAATAGCTTTGATGGATTTTTAAAGGCGTCAATGGATTTTTAAAATCCTCCCAAAAAAATAATCCAATTTAAAGCAAAACGCAACGATGCACAAGCACTTTTATGTGAATTATTCGTTAATTTCGTGGCATATTTTTTTCACACTCCGCTCTGTAGGAAAATATAATATAATGCTGGATGATTTTAGAAAATTATGCACACACACACAGAGACCTCAGTGTTGGCACAACAACAAAGAGATTCAATTTTTTTTCATGTGCTTTTCCTATCTTCCACTTGTGGGGGGAAATTCACGGGGAAATTGTTCGCGCCAAGTGTGAAAATGTTTAACGGGCATAGAAAACGAAATTTACATTATTATCCGTGATTATTCAAATATGTGTGCATAAATATGTGTCTGTGTGAGTGCCGCCGACATATGCGAGTGTATGTGTGACAATAATAATATGCAAATTATTATTGAGGAAACAATTGTTGTTGATGGCTGCCGTTACTGTAATTTACATTCCTTGTCCAACACTTTAACTCACTTTTTAACCAACCTCCCAGAGCCCACTCCCTAGACACCTCCTAATGGCCACGCCCACTTTGGCATTTTCCTGCCCCCTTGGGGGCTAAATATTTTTCAAAATTCGATTATCTGCTTTGCAATATAAACACATAAACGCTCTAGAATTATGGATTTTATCGTAATAGTTAGGGGCTTAAACAATATTAGCACCAACCACTACCTACTCTTAAATATAAATATTATTAGATATATATTTTTATAAGCTTTAAAGGTACCCTTCTAAAGACCTCTTTTTTCATAAACCCTTTTAGTTTCCGGCGATGCGTGCCCTTTCGATATCCTCGGCGGATGCTTTCATCCTGGTCTACGATGTCACCGATGCTACTACCTTCGAAGAGGTCCGCGCCATCCGGGACCAGATCCATGAGACGAAGGCCACCACAGCAGTGCCCATAGTGGTTGTGGGCAATAAGATCGATCTATTGGCTGATGGAGAAACTGAACGTGAGGTAAGTTTTCTTATAAGCTATTCGGGGTTACCATATTGGGAACTATCATGTTAGATGTCCTTCAATAAGACCAATCTATAAGCTTCTTCTATAATGAAAAATTTAAAAATGAGGTAAGAAAATAACAGTGTCACCTTTTCGATTAAAGCGTATTAAGGACTTCCTATATTAGCTTTAGGTAATAATATAAATAAGCTGATAAAGAAACAGAACGCGAGGTGAACAAGCGAACGGGGTCACCCCGTCGGGGTCACCATTCAAGGACAAAAGGCTTGTCGGGCTGGGTGTCTGCTAATTTGCATCAATTTTAATTGCTGTTTGTTGGTAACACTGCGAGACCGCTTTGATTGTTGTCAGTCAGTGGCTGGAAGGCGTGTTTACTACAATAACCGACTTTGCTCCGGACACTTTGGATACTTGCCACATGCCACCCATCACCGAGCCAATGGAAATTGCTTTATTTTTTTTTTTCGGAGCGTTATTCGGGGCGTTTTCAGCAATTATGTAAAGTTTGTCAAGCGTAACCCGGAGAAAGGGCGCGGATGGTCTAAGGGTGTGAGCCAAAAAGGACAAACAGTTTAATCAAAACTTTTCCCGCCCCTCCAAAAAAAAAAACGAAGTAATAAAAGGGAGGGAAGCAAGTGGAAAGTAGAAAGTGGCAAGCGAAAAGTGGAAAGTCAGTTAAACAATTTGTCAGAATTTTATCCAAGCTTAAAAATGACAGTGCACTGGCAGCAAGTACTATATATACACATTGTGTATTCAATAGGAGTTCTCACATTATTTGTGGCAGCTATAAAACATTGGTCATCTGTTGCAGATGTCAGAGCTACAAACTACAACAACAACATGAAATGTAGAGGGAAGAAAATGTAGCATTTAAAATGTCAAAGTGGATGCGGCAGGGTCGAGGGGTCATAATGTCAGACAGACTCGTGAATAAAGTGCAAACTACGCTCGAAAGTCGCACCAAATGAAATGCCATCAAAAGTGGTTGCACTTCAAGGAAATTCTTTAAATTATTTTATTTTTAAAGAAATATTTGTTTTGAAGAAAATGCTATGCCGTTTGCTTTCCTTTTGCTTTAAAATTTTATTTTTCAATTTTTTTAAATATTTTTTTCTGTGCAACCGCTTTATATCCTTTCGCCTTGGCCCGCTGCCACTTGCCCCGTCCTGGCTGCCTTTGCATAATTAGTGCGCGACCAGAGCTGAAAAGTATGCAACATCCCGCGCAATGTACCGAAGGATCTCAGGAGGGACAGCAAGTAGGTCCTTTTGGGCGGTTTGCTACTGCTACTGCAACTGCGGCTGGGTTCGTTACGTCCCTCGGGGCAGGACTGGTGTCTTCTGGTGTCACTGCTGCATTGCAAATTCCTTGCCAAAAAGCGTGCAACACAAATTTGACAGAAACAACTAAAGAAAAAAAAAAAGGAAAAATGAAATCAAGTTGAGGAATGTGAGGCAGAAATGCGTGACAGAAGGATATTAAATAGAAGCTGTTGCTTTCCAAAAGAAAATACGAGTACCATTTTAAATATCAATTTCATATAATTTAAACCCTTAAACATAAACGTGAAATAATCGCAAATAAAATGAAACTTAAATTTGGTAATAAGGAAAACCCGAAACTAAGTCCTCGACCCTTGGAGGTACTTTGCATATCTTAAGTGAGCATCATTTGGCGAGGCTTTCTGCATAAGTTTTCTACTTTTTTTTTCATTTTGGTTTTTGCGGCCTCGGGCCAAATGATTCCATAATAAATTCGGGCATCATAAAAACTAAAGGCGAAACATACGCAAACGCAAAAAACCCAGCCAAAGGTAAAGTTTGCTTCTCAACAAAAAAATACATAAAACCGTAAAAAGGAAACTTCACTTTGATTGTCGTCGAAGGGAAAACTTGAAAGGAAAACATCGCTTTCCCAGCGAAAAATGTTCAAATGTGAAATATACGAAAATAAAAACCGGAAATTTTTGAATTGTTCAACCGAAATGTGGCAAGTTTCCTGGCCTTAATTTATGCAGATTTTTAGTTGCAACATATCAAAGGAATACAGAGAGGTCTTGTTTTTGAAAGTATTTTTAATTTGATTTAAAATGAGGTTTTATTGTGGGAGATATTAAAGGCTTGTCCGTTTGTCGGCTTAGATATTTTATTGTCTCTTAAGTTTTCTTAAGACTTTAGACTTTCAACTTGATAATTACTTTAAATTGGATTATATATTTGCGTCTAAAGGGGATTATATTAAGTTTTTAAGAAATATTTCTCCGCTTGTCTATTTGGTAGATTATCTGTATAAGCCTCTTTGAATTCTAGCTTGCAATTATCAACTTATACATCTATTTATAGGCTCTTTTATGAATATATCTTTAAGAACCTTGTCCCTCTTTCTTCTACCCTTCACTGACCCTATTTTTATTTACTTTAATTAATTGCCTAATCATTTCTTTTGCTTGTCTTTTATTTTATAAATTTATCAATCTGGAATCCTTCTTTTTTATTTCTTCTCATCTCAGTCACAGTTGGTCAACTTTATAAATTTTAATTTGGCTTTGTTTATCTTTTTCCTTTTGGCCCCAGCTCTCTTGATTGTTTTTCGGTCCTTTTGGGTTCTTTTTGGTATTTTATTTGTCACTTATTTGATGCGTTTTTTTCGCCATTACGTACGTAGTTTTGCATAAGTGGTTGTACATTCAGGACCTTCCTCCTGGTCTGGTCTGGGCCACCTCCTTGGGGTGTATTGACTTTAACCAAGTTCTGATATAATAAAAATGCAAATTGCCAGCAAACGCCAGACTGTCGCGCTCCCCTCCTTGGCTTAGAGAAATTCCCCCCAACCCCCATACATATATATATGTATATCCTTCTCCTCCTATCTGAAGACTTTCGGGTCTTGGGATGTATTTTTTTGTTCAACGAAGCGAAATCAACTTTTTTTTTGTTGTCGCCTTTGTGTCACTTTTTTTTTTTGGTTTAGGCCGTTTTAAACCTTAGTAGGCGTATGTATACCCATCTATATATATTTATTTATTTTTTTTTTTTTTGTTGCAGCTTCTTGAGTTTGTTCATTTGGAAGAATTAAGCTTCCGATTTTCGGTTCAAAGTCAGCAAATTTCTTAGGGGTCTCCCTTTTTTTTTACCTTCTCAATTTTGGCAATTTTTTTGTTGCCTTTTTTGGCCATTTATCGCTACAATTTAGACGTCTATAAGGATTTTCGTTGCCCGATAAGAAATAATAAAGTTCGTATTCGGGTTTTTTGGGTTGAGATGGGGATATTTAGGGAAAAATTTATTTTTTTCCGAGCTTGAAAGTAGTAGTTTTAGTAGCTGCTTTACTACTAAGCCTGAAACTATGCTTTAAAAAAGGAATAATCTTTAGAAGTACCGGTTATCTCTCTCCATCCACATTCTTAAATAAAAACTCTTTTTAAAAATTTCAAGTGTAAGGTGTTTGTTTATTTTTTTGTTAATGTTTCTTTTGTTTTACATATTTACACGTCTTGCTATGTCATTTTAGTGATTTTTTGGATAAAGTGTCTCTTGTAGTGTTACTTGTTTTATTTACAATAGTTTGCTTATGTATCTCCCATTTTAGTCATCAGCAGCATAGCATTTTTTGTTCGGCGACCATATACCATTCAGCATTTGGCTTGTTAGTCTTTTTTTTAGGTGTAGTTGTGTAATCTTGATGCAGCCACGTTGTCCAAAGAACCAATAGTATTCTAGTCTTATTCGGATTCGGGTTTCTTGTGTGTTTCTGATCCGAATTTCAACAGCTATATCAACAGCTATTATAACTTGCATTTGGGTGTTGTAGTTTCTTCTTTTTATATATTTTCGAGCTTCATTCTGGTTTGTATATCTTGATGCAGCCACTTTGTCCAAAGAACCAATAGTATTCTAGTCTTATGCTTCTGTGTGTAGTAGTTTCTTCTCGTTCTCCTCATTATTCCAATGTGTTGATGGTTTCAATAGGATTCTGGAGAGATACCTGGTGTAATTGCAGCTTGTACAGGTTTGTCTTCAGAGTTTTGATTTTTGTGTCATCCTGGTGGTGTATTAGTGTTACTAAGCATACCGCGTTTTACTTGCTATTTTGTCTTCAATAGCCAGATGGAGGACTTTTCTCGGACTTCTTCCTACCATAATGTGTAATTCGTCCTTCCATATTCCAATAGTTTTTCGGTGTGATACGTTTTGTTACCTTACAGCTTCAGGCTTGTTTTGTTTATTCCGATGGGATTGAGATCAGAGGATTGCTTTTTTTTCGTGGTGGTGTATTAGTGTCTCCAATAGGCAGTGTGTGGTTTTTTCTCGGTCTTCTTCCTACCATAAAGTGTTGAGGATTCCCGTGTGACATCAGTGTAATTGCAGCTACAGCCTTGTTTTGTCTTCAAAAGTTTTTCTTGTCATCGTGTGTATAAGTTTTCTTAACCATACCATTTAACTAGTCTCCAATAACCAGTTTGTGTATTTTTCTTGAGTTTTTTCGTATTCCAACGTGTTGTATAGTGTATTTTCTGCTGGAACCTCCTTCATCAATTCACTAACTGGAATGGTAGTGTTCTTTGATTGATTTCCGTGTTATATCATCGCAACATGTCTGGTTACTGTGTACTCTTACTGTTTATCTTTGTTCTTCATGAGTGCCACTTTTGGAAAGCCCCCCTTTGTTGGCGTTCTTCATTCGATGTAGTTCGTACTCCCTTGCAAAATCCTCTTCGTCCACGACCCGGATGCACTCCTTTTCTTCATCTTCAAATAGAAGATTGTGTTCCGGTTTGACCTTTACGTTTCTACGGCATTTCCGAATCGTTTTTTGCTTTGGGTATCGACGCCATACATTCCATTCGATGTCAGGACCCCTCCTTCCTTCATTAGTTTCAGTAGTGTTTGTGTTGCTTGTGTGGTCTTGGTTGTGCCCTACTCCTTCTCCATCCGCGGCAACTCGGCTGGATCCTGCTACTTCCTTTTCTTCATTATCCTGATCGATGTCCTTGTCGCCCCTAATCCCCTCCCCGGTCGCCAGGCCTCATAATATCTCCAGATCCTCCCGCAAGTGCTCCAAGCATGGGATGGTGGGTCCATTGTACTGGACGGAGCTTGCAGCAACAGCAGCAGCACTCGCAGTGGTAGGAGTGGCAGAGGTGGTGGCGGGACCGGTGACGGTAGACTCAGTGGTCGATGGGATGCAGCCTGTGTGCATAGTCACTAGATTGTCAACAGGAGCCGAACTGCCGACAGCTGGTGTGGGGCAGGAGCGAAGGCTCTCCTGCAGGGGCGTCGACGTGGCCGTGGGTGTAGACTCCGTTGAACCACGAATTCCCATACGCGACATATCCAGGGAGATGTCGGCAGGATCCACTGTCGGTATCGGCGTCGACGGTCGGGGGCAAGTCGGGGTGGTACATATATGCCCCACTGATATGCTCGTGGCCAGTGCTGCTCCAACGTTGGCCCATTCGTTGTTCGGCTGGTACACGTAGTAGGAGTGCGCCACTTCGGGGTTCATGTGCATCGCCTTCGTCACCAAATCCAGTTTCTGGTCCAGCACCGCCGCCAACTGCTGTTCGATCTGGATTTGTTGTCTGAGCAGTTGGTTCTGGAACGTGCGACGCATAGCATCCGTGGGCAGAATGTCATGGATGCGTTGTGCCAAGCTGCACGTTCGCTCCTGGGTACGGAGCAGATCGTGGAACAGAGTCGACCCAGTATCGGGGGTGAACGGATGCCCCAAGGTGGAGCGATGCAACAGAGTCGGCGCCTGATAGGTGGACTGGGTTGTGGCTGGCGATTCCGGATTGCAAAGTCGCTGGGAGAGCATCTGTGGATGCACCTGGGCCTGTTGTTGTTGTTGCAGCTTTCGATCTGACATCAGAAGCTGCGGCTGATAAGACGACTGATGCTGTTGCGGCGGCGTGTGGATCTGGGCCTGATGCTGAAACGTATGTCCCGATGGCTGCTGCGACTGGAAGCGCTGCGAACCCATACCGGCTGTAAAGGTCTCGCCAGCATCATGGCTTCCCATACCACCACCACGACTACCACTGGTATTGGCAGCATCCTGCATGGTATCGCGGCTTCCCATACCACCATTGTTGGAATTGATATTCACATTGGCACTTTCCAGAAAGGTGTCACGCTCCCAGCCACACACTGTGCCGCCACCACCGAAGTTATTGCCGCCGGCACCGCTCCATGGAGGTCCCATCCAGGACCAGGGATTATTCCGGGACAGGCATCCTGCTAGTCCTCCGTTCCCGCAGGTACCGTCCACAGGAGAAGTAGCGCCGTCATCCTCGCCCCACAGATTGCAGACCCGCAACGGGTTATTACACCCATGCTCCGATCCACTCGGATTCTGCCATCCGTCTGTGCCACCTCCGCCCAGCGAAGGTTTCAGGCCGAGGCTGTTGCGGGCCGCAAGACGGGCAGCCCGCTCGGCGCCAATTGGGGGCAACTGGCGCCGACCCTGTTCGTCCTGGGTGTTGTTCCTGTACATCCCCTAGAAATAAAAAAAAAAAAATTTTTTTTTAAAATAATTTTCAATTATATTTTTAATATTTTTAATATTTTTTGTTTACTTACCCCCTTTTGTGTTTTATGTTTCCGCTTCAATTCAAGATATGTATACTTTTTTTTATTTTTTTTTATATTATAATATTTTTTTTTTGAATTATTTTTTACTGATTTTATTATTTTATTTTTTTGGTTTTTATTATATTTTGGATTTTTATGTTTTGCAATTTTGAAGGTTTTTATTGTGCCAAAGTTGAAAAAGTAAATGTTTTTTTTTTGTTGAAATATAGACTTTTTTTCCAAAGTTGAAAAAAAAGGTTTTTTTTTGTAGAAATAGGTTTTTTTTGCTTAATAGTCGATCTGATTACTCTGAGCGACTGGTTGTTACTGATTTTATGAGGGCTCCGTTCGAGCTTAGGTGGGTTTTGAATCCAAATTTTTTCGAGGCAACGCCTACTAGAAAACGCTCCATGGCCACCATGATTGTTTTCGGGCAAAATGGTCATATTTTTTTCCAGTTTAAATTGAGTTTCAAAAACTGAGATTAGTGTGTTTGGGCGGGAAAGTCTATGGATAAAGTTTTATATTAAAAATGTCTTAAAAACATATTTTATTGAAGATATACTTCGCAAAAGTTTTTATATAAATTTAATATAATAGTTACTTCTTAATGATTTGCTATTAAAAGGGTTATGTTTGCAAAATAGCAGTGTGACCAAAGCATAAGGTTTCTCTTGTAATTGTGGCCATTTGTTTAGGCTTTCAAGTCCATAATCATAATAATTTTATCACGACTTTGATAATTAAAGTCCATACTATATAAATTTATTAAAAATTATAGATAATCTACAAGTCTGATTTATTTGTTGCAGGTTGAATATGCCACCACCGAGTCCGTGGTGACTGTGGACTGGGAGAATGGTTTTGTAGAGGCTTCTGCTGCCATTAACGAAAACGTTACACAGGTGAGTATTAAAAATTACATAAATCTTAATATAATTGTAATTATTTTGTATATTTTATGAAAGGTTTTCAAGGAGCTGCTGGCCCAGGCCAAGATCACCTATAACCTGAGTCCGGCGCTGCGGCGGCGCCGCCAATCGCTGCCCCAGCAGATCGGCAACAATGGCCCGGGCACACCGCTGCACCACCACCATCATCATCACCACCATGCGCACCACCAGGGTGGGGCCGGCTCGGCCTCTACTTCGGCAGCAGCTGCGGCAGCAGCAGCCGCTGCGAGCTCATCCTCCGGCAGTGGCAGTGGCAGCGGCTCCCATGCCCCGACTCCGGCGCAGTTGCAGCACTTGCAGCGTATCCAGGAACGCAGCCTGGGAGCCAAACGCAATTCGTGCAGCATCTCCTAAACAGCATTTTTAAGGGGAACTTTCCACACAAAAAAAAACTACAAATTACAAAGAACAAAAGAATTCAAACCTAAACTGATACTGAGAATTATTGTTACTATAAAAAAATGAAAAACAACTGAAACTAAACGGTCTCCTAAAAACGGTTTTCAATACTTTTTTTTCATAAACTTCAGGCCAGAGAACGTAACTGAATTCAAAGACCTATTTAAGACCTAAATATATACAAAAGGAGTAACTCCCGACTCGAATGTACCTATCTCTATTGCTATTATCGCTCCACAAATGACTTTAGTACCTATCTCATAGCCTCTGGTTTCTCAAAACTCAGCTCTCAAAATGGAAAAGATATATATACATACATATATGTGGTAGAAAAATCGAATTGTTAGCAAGCTATAAATTACTCAAAAAAAGAAACAAAAAAAAAATAATAATAATATATCTACAAATATAAAAAAACAAGAAAGGTCAGTAGAAGTGAAAATAAACTTTTATACGTGTCTCTGTGTACCTTGTATGTGTGTGTGTGTCTACAGTTACAGTTACCCCTTATACCGACGGTACATGAACATATAGCATATATATACATAAATATATATCTGAGTAGCGAGCATTTAGGCCGATCTGTGTACCTAAAGACAGCGAAGAAGACATATTTTTTTAGACAATAGGTCCAAGGAACCGGCATTTGAGCGCCAGTGTTGGCCAGCTGTATGAGCGGCAGCGAAAGGCAGTTTAGTGTTGGGAAGCGGTGACGAAAGCATAAGCAGAAACCAAAAAGCAAATGCATAGTTAAGAGGGGATTACCTACAAAATCTATCTGTAGAACAAGTAGAAAAGTATTGAGTGTAAATTACATTCCAGTGTTTTTGTTTTTTTTTTTCAAATATTTTTGTTTCTCTTGATGTTTTGGATTTATTTGGAATACTATTTACAGGTAGCTAGTAGTGTTGGTTAATTGTGCGAGCCAGGCGAGCGCATAGTGCCAGGAAAACGATTAAAGATTGAAAACGCAATGAAAACACCAAAGACAAAGACATAAAAGCAAATGCAACTAAATAATGATAGAGATATGTGTACGTATGGAGGAGATATTTGTATGAAGAGGATACCAAGTTGTTACCCAGTATGGCAGAGTATAAGGATCAAGTTAAGGATAAGTTCGGATTCAGAACGAAATAAAAATCGGGCCAAAGTGTAACGCAGCTATTAAGAACTACAAATACTATATACATGGAAAATAATTGGAACAAAAAACAGTAAAATGAATATATAGAGCAGGTCGAAAACCCCGAATAACAATTGATCGTTATATTTATGTATTTCTAAAGGAAATATTTCAAATACTAATATATTGAATTACTATATATGGATATATGCTAATGCCAAAAATACTTCAACTTATATGGATATCGATGTGTTGCAAACGAAATGAAAACTTTAAAGAATTTATGTAATTATTTAATTCCAGCAAAATCGTACAATATCAAAGCAGGGCAAGCCACTGCAACTACTATATAAAAAAAAAAAGAATATATATATATATATATGTGAGAAAAAAATATATATATATTATATACATGTATCTGTGTGTACAAGTGGTTGTTTCAACAAAAATTATATAAATCTTTGGCAGGCCAAAGCTAGTTGGGCTTTTGCAGGAGAATTTTGATTGAAATTGTAAACACTATTTGATGGAAATCCTGCCAGAGCTACATACATACCCACAAAAATCATCAGTAAAATGCCAAAAGAAATCCCCCTAAAAGTATGTAATTTAGTAGAAAGGCCAAAAAAAATAAGAAATTAAAAAAAAAAAACTGTAGAGAGCCCTGAAGTAGTGGTAAGTGTGTGAGCATTTTTTGTAGATTAATTCACGATTTAAATGATTGATTTAGTTAGGCGGCGCACTGTGGCCGAGAAACTCCTTCTCTCCTGAATCACAGTTGGTTAAATTCAAAAAATTATATAAAAAACAAAAAAATATAAATGAAAGTAATTATTAATTAATCGCTTTGAGGACACAGTGCGTTAGTTAACACAGAAAGAAAGCAAAGCCACGTAGAATTGACTAAGATCTTAGTATGAGCATTTGGTCCTTCGGTTCCTTATTTATCCTTAGAATGGACTAATCGGCCTATGGTTGTATCTGGTGCAGATCCTGAATCCCTTTGCCTATCCCTTTCTATCACTCACTCTCTCTATCTATCTCTCTTTCGGATAATAATATATATATTATGGAAGAAATATTTGCGAATTTCTGCGGTTCCTAAGGCGCGTTCCGATTTCCAAACCGAACCTGCTAGCTGGGATATCTTAAATGGAAAATAATATATATACATATATGATTATTTACATACATACGGCAATACATATGCATATACTATATATACATACATATACATAATGAAAAATAATTATAAATGTAATTGATAAAAAAAAAAACAAAAAACGAGAGACAAGAACCGGAAATAAATGCAAGTCGAAGACATTTTTTTGTGCTTAAAAAGCTTTGTTTTTTATGGCGGGAACTTGAAGCTTTCGATGCTCAAAGCTTAAAGCTTTCTATAATCGTTGAGAATTTGATTTTTTTCCAGTGTATACAGTGACCATTCCTATGGACTTTCTACAAACTAAAGCAATAACATATGAAAGACCATCTCCAAAGGCCCACTGTACTTGGCCCAGACTTTGGGGGGCTGGTCTTGGCCATTAAAGGGGGCGTGGCAAAGCCAAAACCGCTTCGAATAATCGATGCTGTCGGCCCGATAGCGACAATAACAAACCCGAGCACAAGGCCAAACAAATAAGCGCGAAGTGCACTGCCAGGATAACTGCCAGGACCTCAGCGCGAAGGTTGCAGCCCGAAGAGACACCCTCCATTCGGCCACATGGACTTTCCATCTGTCAACTGCAAAGATTAATACAAGTATTACTAATTAGTGTAAAAATAATATAAATAAACCGCAATTTTAGTCATAAAGATTAGGCCTTTGGGCATAGCCCCAAGAAATATAATAATTATATCAAGTCTCATTCCCATCGAGGTTTATTCCAACTAATAAATCATCCTCTGACTCAACGGAATTTGGTTTAAAATTCTCTAATTTTAGCAGATTATTATTGTGGACCCTTTGTTTTTTTTGATAAAACTCGGTTTGGTAATCGAAAAGCAATGCTAGTGTTATTTTTGATGACGGAGCTTGGTTGATTGGAACTCTTTTTATTTTTTTAATTGGAATTATATTTCTTGAAGCTGAGTAAACCCCTTCAAGAGTGGGTATAATCGAAAATTTCAATATATGACTTTTTTGAAGTTTTATATCTTTATCAATTATTATTCGATTCTTTAAATAAATACCTTACTAGAATCATAAATCGATTCTTACTTAATCTGCATTTAAATCTTAAAATCTTAAATTTCGTACTCTTTTTGAGAATTTTCAAAGGGAACCCCTTTCAAAAGATTGAAAATCCAAAAATGTTTAAATTTAATTTAATTAATTTTAAACAAATTCCATATCTTTAGCAATTCCTATTCGATTTTAAAGAAATTAACCCCTTAAAATAATTGTGGATTAGTTCTCCACCAATCTCCGCCAGGATTTAGATATCAGATTTTTACGTTATTTTTTTTTGACATTTTATAATAAGACCTCCTCGAAAGTGGGAAATACTAAAAATATTGCATTTTAACTATGTATTTCTCAATCCCAGATCTCAATTAATATTTCTCCGATTCTTAAAACCAATACCTTAAATGAATCGTTGATTAATTCTCCATCGATTTCCATTTAAATCTTGCACTCAAATATTTTTTATGCTTTTTTCATTATTTTGTGGGGACATCCCTCTAAAAGTGGAGAAACATCATAAGAGTCTATATTGGACTATTCCCAAATATCATATCTTCCCACCTAAGATCTGGGATGTAAGCTTCTAAAACCCCATTTGTGGAAGTTTTTTTTTCAAGCCCCAAACTTAAAGCCCCCAATATACCCCACTGACTCTCCTGTAGCTCAGCAGTGCGCTGGCAAAAAAAAGGAATAATATTAGCAGCCAAAGAGGACAATGTCTTTTCATTTCAAAACAGACGCAGGCGCAGTGGGGGCCACGTTGCGTATGAGCCATGTGAACAGTGAACCGAACAGGGCCAAGAACACACATCCAGTCCACGTGTGTGCCTGTCTGGGTGATTTTTTGGGGCACTAGTGGCACAACCGTGTGTACTCGTGTTCGTATTCGTATTCGTATCCATATCCGTGTCGGCCATAGTAGTAGTACTACGTAGTAGTTGTACGTGCAGAACCGCTTTTTTTGCCCATTTTGTTGTTGTTGTTGATGTTGTTGTCTTTATTTTTTTTTTCCCCCACATTTTTGTTGTTGTCTTTGGTGCCTCGGTGGGTCAGCCGGGTGGCTTAAATGGGTCGCCGACAGTTGTGCGGCAGTGCCACACGGGCATTCCAGGCACTTGCAACGTGCCACGAGCTCTTTCTTGCCGCAAATCACCAAAAATAACAGTGGTAGTAGTTGGAGTTTATAGCCGGCATTATTTATCCTAGAAACAAAAACAAAAACAACCATTATCTTGGATATATAACCCGCAAAAACCAAAAATCTAAAATATCATTTCCGGTTACGGTTTTGTTCATAAAATCGGTCTTCAAAAGCGAATATATATATTTAAATACAAACAACTATGTATGTATCGTGTAATTGTAGTGTTTTCTACGCAAAACTACGCCAAACTATAGCCGTGTGTACACACAAGGAGTGTGACCTTGTAGGGGGAGGGCAACTTGCCGCTGAGACTGGGTTGGGGTCTGGGGGGTGGGCTCTGGGCTCTGGGCTCGGTTGCATCGGTAGACCTTGAACATAAAGGTGTAAGCCGGAGTCAATAACAAAGTAAGTTGTGCGCCAAGCCAGATGATATAATGGGGCTTATCATCTAAAAATATAAATATTTCAAAAGTAAATAATTAAATATATTCTTGTTTATTTTTTTAATTAAAATTATGAGTCAAGTACTTAGCTCATAAAATTTCTTTAAAAAAAGACAAAAAATTATAAAAATATTCCAGAAATTCGTTGTAAACCATAGTGCTATTATTATAAAATTTCCATAAATATTTTTACCAAAAAACTTTATTTCTTAAAATTCTATAAATTTCAGATACAAACTCCCGATGACCCATTTCCGTTGGGGTCTTGAGGCTCCAAGATCATTGCCAGAACACCCAAAAGATAAACGGATCGGCATCTGGGATCCAGATTCTATATAGAAACCATTTCCGTTGGGGTCTTGAGACTTCAAGATCATTGCCAGTATACCCAAGAGATGAACGGATCGGCATCTGGAATCCAGATTCTAGATAGGAACTGAGAAAACATAGCCCCGACGATAGGAAATCCGGTTGGTTATCTGGTATCCAACTATATTGTAAGATTGGTAA